TAGTTATTTTTTGTCATGAACTTTTTATTAAAACAAACTGCGCCCACTTGTGTTTACGTCAGCATCAGCATCACCATCAGCACAAGCACCAGCATCAGCAATGTTAGCATCTGCTTACAATTTTTGATAGGAATTTTCTAATATATATTCTTAATCAAATTAAGCGATAAAATCAATTTTCGGTTTGAGCCGAACTTTTACTTACGTTTCGTAAAAGTAATTCACATCTAAGTAATATCGAAGGTTTTTCTAAATTTTTCTATTTGTTTTTTTTTTTTTTTTTTTAATATTCCGTAAGAGAGAATAAATTCGATCCCGAAAAATCTTAATAGTTTTTAGATTATATTATGATATACTCACTCGTGTAGCCATCTATTATGGTAACAGGGCGGTGCACTCGTCACGCTCGAGTTTCTCCGATTGCCAGAGTACTTGTCAAGCCAAGCCAATTCGACTTAATGATAAATGATTCGTAAATAAAGGTGAAGTTATTTGCGAGCGTACCATCGCCAAATTGTCGGACGGTTGGGAAAAACGTATAACTAGCGATGATATTTCGAGTAAAATATTGTCTATTATTTGCGTACAATCATCATTTTTTCTATACGAAAATTCCGGTTTCATATTTACATACCTAGGAAAAAATTCATTTTTGAGTTTAGATGGACAAACGACTTCAAGCACATTTTTACTTAACTATTAAAAGTGTAACATTCGATCAATTATTTGTAATCAATATTTCACACATATCTACATACAAACTAAAAACCAATTTCGTGAGAAAGTTAGTTCAACTTATTTAAGTGGATTTGTAAATAAAATATTGTCTAATAAAATAGGTGTATATATATATATAGGTGTATATATATATATATATATATATATATACAATTGCCTAATAGCTATAATTTGAAAAGAGTAACTTCGTAGCCTTTGCCTCGGAACTCAACGCTCAGCTCACCTGAGTGTTAGTAACAGCCCAACTGATAATATTGCTGCAAGGTGTAAGCTAATAAGAATCATATTAGATCACGTATAACTGTTTCTCGACATTTATTATCATTTCTCTTCATAAATGCAATTTTCGAAATGTAGCCCCTATCAGACTTTGACGAGCAGATTAAAAGTGAACAAGGATAGCTGATAGATTTTTCCTACAATTATTCATTAGAAACACGATTCGAACTTGCTCAGGCGTGGCTTAAAGAGTTTGTAAGCATCTAGGTCCCAACTTCAGAGTATAATGTTACTTGTCATGCAATTAATGCTGGATCGTGTTCTAAATTAAAAAAAAAAAAATTGTACGACGTTTTCAATGATTACAAGAACAGAAAAACCATCCCTACCTGCATTTGGCTGGCATTGCTTGCTTGTCTCACTCACAAACAGCATTTTTGATAGACACTTGTAGCGTTTTTTGAAAAGCCCGTCACCTTTTCGCCCGATATATACTCGAGCGACAATTCCAGGCGAGCGAATAAAGTCGTCCCTTACTGCTTTACAAGCAGTAAGCAACCAACTTTTTTACTAAAATAGAACGAACATCAGGAACGATGTAATTATACGGCTTAAGTCATTGTTTGAAGGATAGTGATTTTCCCCACGTGAGCAGGCGGGCAGTGGAATTAGTTCACAAACGGGCCATCTGCGAACGTAGTTGTTTATAGAATGAATCGCCGCTGCAGTAGCTCATGATAATCTTGGCAGATCGGTCGGTCGGCATAAATCCTATATTGTAGGTCAATTTGCAAAAGATGCGAGGGTATCACTTTGCCCGGCTATTTAGTGAGCATTTTTGGACGACGGATTGCTATTTGATGGCAGAGTTTCCTTGCTAACCATAATAACGCATAGTTCATATATTCACGGAAAAATATATGCAGAGCTACGTTATTAGTTGCTATTTTTATGAAAAATGCGCCTTTCAAGGCGTATTCAAAGGTAGGCATTTTCACTTCAGCTAAAAATGCATTTTTCAAATAATTAAAGAAGTGTTACAATGTGACAATATATAGAGGCGATCGAGACAAACCGGGATAACGTCCATCCGAATGAGCATCCGAATGGGTAAGAATCGCAAAATCCAGCATGATTTACTTTGTTCATAGCTACAATAAAGGCTAAGGCGGTAGGTAATAGTTATCGATTCGCCACACGCCCGCTAAAAGATGACCACGACATTCCTATCTCTTTCTCCTTCCTCTTTTCATTCTCACCGTCACCTTGTTGAAGGAACGATTAGAAAAAATTTTAAATCCAACTGATACTATTTCACTAAATACAATATTCTCCAAGAGTATATTTGGAAATTCCCATGGACTTGTTTCCGTTGTTCATATACCTGTAGTGAATAGTAAACTGTACGTATTCATCCCAAAAGATAGGGTGCACCGATGCAAGTATATATACATAACATTTGTTATTTTAATAGTTTTTGTTAAAACTTGAACTTTAACGAAAATATATGTAAATGAAAAAAAAAACAAAAAACAAAAAAAAAATATTATAATTAAAGATTAAAATTTTCCCACTGTTTAAGTGATTCATGCTTAAATATATATTTCTACAATACTTTGCGGCACGTTATTAAACAAAAATTGTGAAAATGTGATATTTAACTAAAGAGGAGTGCATTGTTATTTAGAAGACCTTAAGAATCCGTTAAAGACATAAATCATAATTTGATATTTATTTGAAGTATTGGGTGGGTCTAATGTGTAACTGTTTTCTCGCACGCAACAATGCTCATAAATCTTTTTTTTTTGATTTAAATAAATAAAATTTTAAATTTTGCAAAGATTTGATTGAAGGAATTTTTTATTTTTTTTTAAGTCGATTACCGCAATCAAGAATTGTTCAATTCTCCCTCATCTATGGCCAAATAGCATTGTCTTGATGCCTTTTCAAACTGCATCATAGACAATAAATATCGCAAATAAATAAAATTTGATTACACCAAAAAGCATCATTGTAGTGGTAAAGGGATCGGATGCATGCAATTACGTGTTTTGCTTACTTATTCTGATTTGATATGTGAATTAATACAAATCACAAGTCAACAATTCTCCGGTCTGACGCATATATGACATGATTCTTGACAGACCTTGAATTCTTCAATTCTGGATAGTATTAACATTCAAACGGAAGGTGTCACAATTTCAATAAAGTCCGACCATTAGCTTACAAGTTACACTTAAAAATCGAAATTTCGTTTGTTATGTAAACGCGGCGTTTAAACGTGAGAAAAAACACTGCTCACCATCAGCATTGCTTTAACAGATGTTATGGTGATACTTGCCTAAGGACATCGATAATGCTGATCGCTCTGGTCGCCCGAATTCATTGGTTGTTCCAGAAAACATAAAAAAATGCACAACATTTTTTCGAAAGGCCGAAAAGTGAAGTTGTGCAGAATAGCTGACAGCCCCCAGAAGGCAGTGCATTTAGTCGCTTGCATGAACGTTTGCCCATGAGAAAGCCCTGCGCGAAGTGGGAGCCACTCTTCCCGACTTTCTACAACAATGTGTTGACGATTCAGAACCCTGAGCTGCGTAGCATATATGTGATAAGCGATGAAACATGGATTCATTACTACACCCCAGAATTAAATCGGCAATGAGCCGAGTGGAGAGCAACCGGCGAAGCGATCAAAAATCAGATATGACTGTCAACAGTGCTGCCTTATACGTGTCAGAAAACAGATCTATTGGGTGATGCAATTTGTGAGCACATGTGAAATCAATTTTCTATATAACCCCCAAAATGTTCTGAAACGTAAGCGTCAAATTCAGTCTATATGGTGGATGCAATGCAGCTTCAATTGTTCCCATGAACAAGGGGATACAACTAAATTTCCGTACTCTATAATATTGGGTGGGCGCGGCTGATTTTTTATGTGGTCCACGTGGTTTACTTTATAAGTAACAAATACAAGGCTAAAGGTCTCCACAGTTTTTGTTACAGTATTAGGTAGGCGTGGTTCGCCCATAAAATATACGCTACATTTTTTATAAATTTTTCTGCTGTGGTTTGCGAATAATAAGCGGAAAAACAGTTTTTTATTCCTTTTGAGAAGCAGAGGTGTTTTCAGTTTATATGGTACTGTAGGCGTGTCTTTGGACCGATTTGACCCATTTGCAATAGCAACCTGCATGGAGGGACATCCAAATTTGGAGTCCATAGTTTCATTGTTGCGGCTAAGAGAACATTAACCAGAGACATTATACAGATGGATAAATGTTTAAATCGATGCACAATTTCGTGCTTGTGGGATCTCTGAAGTTTTCGTTTCGTTGCTAATTCATCTTTCGGTGATGGGTATAAAAAAATTGAGAAAATTATATGCGACTTTGACTGACTCTCCTTTTTTACAGACACATGTTATGTCAACATTTTATTATATAACTGTTGTATATGTTATAAGCCGGCAATTCTCGCGTATATTACTTAACGTGCCTATGCACACGCACATGCATACTTAAAATGCTTACCGTAACTAATCATATCTTTAACATAACATGCACACAGAAAAAGACTTGCAACAATGTAATGGGAACACTATCGCTTACTCAAATAAATGCAATGGTTTTAGAGCGACTTCTCGACCTCATTTATCTAAATTAAACGCATAACATTAAAAACCTCTCTACATGTGAGAAATTTCCCGATTCGAACTATTTCTGCATTGAAGTCGCGCGATAAAAACCGCTATTGAGTTTCCAAGTAATTGAGATTTTCAAATTTCTTTTTATTTCTTCTGTATTACAAGATAATCTTATAGACAACTCATGCCTATTTTCAAATTGTGATTTTCTGTGGGAATATGCAGACGCAACATAAAACTCGAATCTCTTTCAATTTCTTAATTAATTAAAAACTTAACGGTAGATGACAATGCACTTGTCTTCATTCATAAACTATGATTTCTTAAATGTGTGTACTTGTGCAGTTCGATACCGAACAATGGCATAAATAGCATAACATAAATAAAGTAAGTCAAGTAAGGTTTGTTTAAAAATAAACGAAAAACAATTAAATATTTTTATTAATTATTCCGTTAATGGGAATCTATTCCTCGTCACAACATGGCTTAAAATATTCAAAGAAGAGCATAAATTGATCGGTTTTTGAGTGAAAATCTTTTATTTCGCTGAAATCCTCGTTCCAATCGAATAATTTTTGTTGATCTTGCTTTTGCGTTTTGCTCAATTCGTTCGCATAAAGTTCGATTGAATTTGAAACGTTTTCATAAAATTCCATATAACGTCCACGAATTTTATCCATAAATTCACGAATTTTATATTTCTCAATCAAATTTTCCGCTTCGTCAGAATGAATGATTTTAACGCTAACTTCCCTATCAGCACTCAGTATATCTTCCGTCAATCTATACATATTTAATAAAGTTTGCTCACTTTCGGAACTCTTTATATTTGCCAAATCTTTAGCGAACTTCTCGTGGCGTCTATTGGGAAGCTCCCTATCGGGGAAATCATTGTTTCGCTTTATCTCTTCTTGAATTTTCATAGTGAAGTCCAAGAACTCTTCACTGCTCTTCAATGTAAAATCGATGAAATTGTTTAAAACTTGCTTATACAACTTGTTATGTTCATTTAATTGTTCGTCGTCCGCCGATGTGAAATCAACACTCTTCGGTACTGGCGTTGTTAAGCAGGGCTGAAAGTTTTTCACATTTACGCAATATATATTTAATATTTAATTTTTTTTTTTTTTTTTAATGAATTTATAAAAATATTTACCTGAACGACTAGAATTATTCCTAAATAAATAATAAAATTATTCTTCATTTTTTTTTTTTAAATCACGTTTTCGGTATAGTATAGTATAGTGTAACTGAGCGATGAGATGCTCAGATGATTTCTATTTAAATATACCCTAAACTTTTTGCTATATGCTCTACAAAATAAAAAGAAGATAAGGAGAATAGATTTTATTGAGAAAGTTCAAGAATTCATTTTCAACCATATAGAGAACGGTTTGTTATATGTATTGAGCAATCACGACTTTGCTTCGGCATTCAAATTGCGGCGCATCGTCTACCACTTTCAATCTTTATACGTACACTGGGATAATATCTTTGACGGAGAGACAAAGACAAAAGGGTGAGGAGAAGAGTTTCTACAAAATCAAATTTCCAACCCTTTTAAGTTGGCTTATAAATAATTAATACACATCTGTGGATGTAAAGATAATAATGAATAAAACAACATTTTCCTGATATATTGAATTTCAAGACAAAAACAAAATCGTTCGCCTTTAAAAAAAAATTAGTTTAGATCCTCACAAAAGTTGGCAGCAAGTCTTATGGGCATTTCGATAAGCTAAGCAAGTGCGGTCATCTAGGGCGACATATGTGTGCGCATATATCTTTTTGTGTCCATATGAACGTATATGTATGTCTATGCATGTGCATTACATGAAAAAAGGCATGACGGCCGTACCAACTAATAGATTGTAATAGAACCAAACAGAGTAAAACTTGAATTTTATTTTGATAGATTTTTCCGTATATTTAATAATGTAATACACGCTCATACGGTTCCTATTAAAACAGATTATTATTTAATATGGAAAAGCTCTGCATTTATGTACATTGTACGATTGCGCATATGATGGATCATAAGTATGAATAATATGAGATTCGATGAATTATAAACGGACATATGGACATATATTACTAATTTTTAAACTTGAAGCCCCAGTTCTTGTTCCATAAAACTATTTAACATCATGATGCAGTAAACAAGCAGACGAATAAAGAGACATAGACGTTGCTTTAATATATATATATATACTGTAGGGCAGCCCTCTTGTGGTTTAACGTTTCTATTCAACTTCCTTTGGGATTAAGTTCGCACCAATGAATTGTGATTTTTACGTCAACTTTAACACAGAAATTTATATTTGCAGCATTTTAGTGCCCGTTCTGATCTTGTCCGTAAAAATCTTACAATACAACTCTCTCGCGATTCGACTCACTTTTCGTTTCGCACACATTCTGCTTATATATCCTTTTGATAAGCAAGTAACTCATCGCGACATGTTCATATTTGTGCCTTTTCCCGCCTTCATTCGAAAATATTTCTGTTATCTGTCGGATCATAACATTAATACGAGTGTCTGCCGAAAAATCCTGAGGAATAACAAAAATTGTTCGGAACCCAATCGTTTCATACTTTTTCACTTGGAATAAGTCTAACATAAGATTTTCTGTGGGCATATAGACAGACCGTTTCCTATATAGGTTGGCCGATGAATTGATTCTCCTACGCTGGCATATCGCAACGATCTCTAGTATATGAAATCTGATAAGATTATTTCTAGATCTTGAAAGTGCTTGGCAAATCTTATATACCGCCTGTCATGGCTAAGAAAAATATTTTTTTTTTGCACGAAAACAACCGTCAATTATTTATTATCGAAATTCTTCAAACTCATGCGATATTATTTACTACCATTTAAAATGCGATAGTCGCTATAAGAGGGCGAAGCATGCGATGCAAAACTATTCAAATTCTTGACTACAATTATAAGCGTAGTCGTCGTGCAAAATATTTGGGTAATTCTTGCGTTAATTGTGTGCAGTAGGAGAATATAATAGAAGAGAAGCGAATACATTTTTAAAAGCTATGTTCATCTAAGCTATGTTCCTGTCACAGTTTGTGAATATGATCGCAACCTTCAATTTCAATTTATCTATTTTGTAACTATAAAGCTTCTAAAAGCGAATTCCATAAGTAGTTACATCGTTTCATTTCTTCTTTTTTTTTTTTTGCAAAAACATTCTCTAAAAACTTCAGTTAACTTTAAGATAAGAGTTTAACATTTTCTGCTAATCAATTCGTTCAAGATTGTTAGATAAATATCTATTATATAATTTACTGCCAAGTTTTTTTATTTATTCAACTACTTAAGCATTGGCGAACTATTTTTGCTCACAACATGGCTTACTCCAATCTAACATCATTTCTTCCTCTTGCTTCTGAGTTGCGTGCAATTCGTGCGCATAAACTGCGGCTGCTTTCGAAAGATTTTCGTAACACTGTATACAACATTCACAAATATTAGCCACAAATTCTAGAATTTTATAAAATTCGGTCATATTTTCTCCTTTTAGAGGATCTTTTTTAAAATCGGACATGTCTTCTACTATTCTATATGTATATATATATGCAAATATATGCATCGAGGCTTGTATCATGATACTGTGTTTCATGAGGTCTACTAAAAGGTTCTATATCGGGTCAACTATCATTTTCCTATATCTTTTCTTTAGTTTTGAAGTAATGAAGTGAGAAAACTTCTCGACAATTTCATTTTGAACATCAGATTACTCTGTACAAGCTATTGTGTTCATTTAATTGATCATCGGCCACAATTTTATAAAATTTTATATCTTTACTTATTTAATATTGATGTTTGCAATAATTTTTTTTATAATATTTGACCTTAAACGGTAGGATCATTCCGAAATAATAAATAGCAAAATAATTTTTTCATTTTTTCAATCAACTGAACGATAAGATCTTTAAATAATTTTTATTTTATCATTGTGTAAACACTTATTGTTATACGCCGTTAAGATTAGACAGATAATGGGGGTTATACCTTGCGAGAGAGTTCAAGGATTATTCTATGAATCATATCGGGGAATTTTAATATATATTGTCTGATCATCGGTCGGTTTGTGAGATCATTATATATGTTTGAGATATTTTCATGGAATTTATTGTATTCGTATTAAATGTTTTTTTTTTTTTTTTTTTTTTTTTTTTTTTAATATTTCATAATTTCCATGGTCGACTAACAATTAACATACGAATGTTTATATGTGCGCAAATAGATTCTATTCAATGAATTTTGTTACTTCACAGAACGTGCGTAGCTCGTCCAATATTTATGGAAATTCAGATGGTGGTGCTTGCACGATGTAAGATTCACTTATGTAGGAAATTGCCATTGAGTGTAAATCAAAAAGAGAGTGAAAGGGATGCCTATATTCCCCAAAGCTGAAGCTACGAAAATGATTAAGTTGGTTTGAAATGAAAGCTCAGTGAGCTATCGAACAGTCAGAAAATGATTTGTAAAATTTGGTACAAAAAATTGTTCCTCTTGACGATCGCACACGTTATTCAACTTGGGCAGGAAATTTCTCCCTACTTCGGCGTACTCTTCAGACCTATACACTTCTGATTCCTACTGGTTAAGATCGGTGCAGTCATAATTATCGGCTGAGCAATTCTGCGAATTTAAAGATGTGCGAAAATCCGTTGAGGAATAACGAAGCTTCTATCGTGAAGGCATTTGCCAGCTTCCAGGTAATAAACACAAAACTATAGATAATGATGGTAGATATTTCGATTTATTTATTACATATCGTAAATAATATTAAACTTTATTAAGAAATAAATAAAATTTACATGAACATATATTACATACAAATACACATATCCTAATAATTTTTTGAGTGACACATATATAATGTTTAACCTCTGCTTAGGCGTTGCTTTTTATGCGCTTCTCACTTGTGCTATTTGTTTCTTGCAACTTTTTTTATGCGTGCATGAATGAATACCTACAGAGATGGGAATAGGGAGATAGAATATGCACTTATTACTTGGAAATTTTTTACTCCAAATGGATGCTAAGTTTAGTCAAAATATACTAAATTCATTGACGTGGGAGTTAATTTTTATACACAATATGTACACCAAAGCACCGCACCCAGTAAAATTAGCAAAAGGTAAACTGAAAGCACTTGATATCGATACTTCATCCAGACTAGGATTCATTACACTTCTAATTGACTGCTTCGATATTGCACGCAAGGATCACTCAACGAATAGTTTCGTTCAAAAGGTCCATGTGCCGGCCCAGCAGAAATCAAAAACCGGTTGAAAAATGCATTGTTAACGAGAAGCATAATATTAAAATCAAAGCAATTTTTAGTATTCTCTTGAAAGAAACGTCTTTCTCATGCTAAATGTACCAGCGACTGGATTTTTTGTCAAAATCCGATAATATTTTACACGTTATTGTATGAAATTATGAAAATTGCATTGTGCCCATAAGTAATTGCACAAATTGAAAACTGCATTTACTGCATTTATTCTGATCCTGCATTTCATAAAGTGAATTTTCGCAATCAAATACGGATTTTGTAAGCAAAAGCTTAAGACTAGATTTAGCGCTATTAAGAAATTGCTACAGTTGCAGTTACGTCATCATAAAATTTTTCATAAAAGACATGTTTTTTATTGGGTTAGTAGATGCTTTGAGCCATCCATTATAGGAGAAAAAAACTTGATTTACTAATAGAAAATCATTTCCTCTAAAGTTTGCTCGAACACTTTAAAAGCCTGCTTCAAACAAAGCTTAAGTAGCAGCCTTATGTCTTAACTAGTGATTTCTTACTCCTCTAATATCTTATCGTAGGTCTTTCGAAAGCATTTATATTCATTTAAAATGGTCTCCAAGTAAAAATACATTAATTTCGCTCCATCGATATGGTCATCTGAAGCAATTTAAAGACTTTCAAAACTTCTGGTAAGAAACTAAAAGTTTCCGTTACAAATATGGTGTTGACTATGAATTTAACAATGGGATTGCGCAACTAGCCGTATGGCCTTTGGAGTTTAGATTGACAAAAAAGAAAAAAAGAAACGAAGACAAGTAAAAAAATTCTGTTCGGCCGAGACCAAGTCTTTTATACCCATCGTTTTTGCCCGTCATATAATATTGTGACATTCGTGATGTTTACTTATCGTAGTTATTTTGGGATTAACACATTTTTAGGCCGATAATATATGTTCGGATGAGTAATGTACAGAATAATTTTCAACATTCTGTCTTGTTTATCCTATGAGTAATAAGCAAGAACCAGAAAAAAAATTAATATAGAGCAAAATTTATCATTTATAGCTTTGTATAGGCGTGGCCGTTTTTTTCTACTTTTGAAGACATGCTTCAGGACCGAAAACCGAAATTATTTGTATTTCAAAAAATATTGATAGTCTCAGATTATGTTGTTCTGCGATCGTGTCCTTTGATCATCCCATCATCATTTCTCCACATGTTCAATAACAATCTGCGCACAAGAACTTGCAATCCTTCTGCCAGATTTGAAGTCGATAGCTTCATTTTTGCAACCACGAGAATGCTTACCACGAAGAGAGATAAGCATACATGCTTAAATCGATATACAATTTCATGCTGATCAAGATATTTTTATATATAGTTGATGGGATCTCTGAAGCTGCCTGCCGTGTATTGCAAATATTTTGACAAAATGAATACATCCCTCATGAGTGATCGGTATAATGAAAATGCCTACGATACGTTCCAAATGTTAAGCATCATGATCGCAACAATTTTCATTCAGTCAATTACTTTGTGATGCGTGGAAGATTACAATAATAATTAATAAGTGCCCTTTTTTTTTTTTTTGGACATTCAGAAATCTTTAGTGTTACCCTTAAAAACAGTAGTATATTTTTATTTCAACGCTGTAGCTATGTGCAGTTAGGGTGAAAAAAGTTTAAAACAGCAATAAACAACAATTAAGATTAAACTATGGTTTAGTATTTGCAATTAGGTGTAAGTTTATTTTGATTTAAATGATAACGACGAAACCTTTGCATAAGTTTGGAAGAAAAATTTTCCATTCATTAATATAATGAAGGTCAAACGATTATTCATCGTAAAAAATGCTGAAGAATTGCAAAAATTTTTCGGTCTTTTCTACACATTTCTTTTCTTCGTGAAAGTCTTCATGCCACTTAAGTAATTCTTTCTGCTCTTCCTTTTGAGTTTCATTCAGTTCGCTGATATACTCCTCATAGGCCTCTTCGAATCCCTTATAAAACTCAAAATAAAACGCGTAAAGTTTTTCCAAGAAATCTGTGACGTGATATTTTTCAATGAGTCTTTTAGTCTCTTCATCAGCATTTGGATCCTCTACATGTTTGGCAGAGTAAATAATTTCTCTTTGCAACTTAGCTACTTCCATAAGTTTGTCTTCGGTGGTTTTCGCTTCTTTCAGCTTTTCAAGAGATTTAAGATATTTTTCGTGCTCTCTGTCCATTAACTCTTTATCTTTTAAATCGTTATTTTTCTCTAATTCTTTGAAAGCCTTAGACCTGTATTCGTCACAGATCTCACCGAGGTCCGCATTAAATGCGACGAACTTATCTAAGGTTAACTCGAATAACTTATTGTGCTCGTTCAGTTGCTCTTTGTCGGTACTATCCGTATCTGGGACCGGACTGGCCAAATAATTCTAAAAAATTTTTCATTGTTTAGATTATTTTCCTATAACATCTCTTTACCACTTACCTGAACTGTCAAGATTAAAATCAAACAATTAATAAAATAGACTTTCATTGTTTTGCCTTTGTTTTCTGGACTACTACGCGTTTAAAGTACTGAAGCACAACTGAGTGTTTTTGTGCACAAAACGTTTCCATTTGAATATTTATACCCTGAGCCAGCTGCAGTTTAGTGTATGTTAAGTTTTTGCGATTGTATGGGTAAAACCTAGAAAAACTTAAAGGACATACCAAACTGGCATAATACTGAACGATTCTCGATCATATTGTGCATCAGTTTAACTTTCTCTCCGTCTCTCCGTCTGTCTATTTATTTGCCGGTCTGTTTATTCGTTTGATGTCTGATCGTACGTTTTTGCGTTCAATCAACAAGCCGCCACTTTTGAGTTATTTTCACGAAATTTTACGAACAAATTTAGCGATGATTGAATTTATGTCTTGGGCGCCCTCCCTTCCTGAAAACTATGCCTTTATCCGAAAGTAAATAAAAAAATATAAACCAAGTGATGTAGGATGTTTAAGGATCGTCCTTGCCCAACCATAATATGGTTATTGGTTTTTAAATGTAAAAAAATATAATGATGAGCTGATAAGAATTCATAATAAAGTCCAGAATTACCTGAGTGTGTCTCGCAAAAGGTTTTTAAAGGCCACCACGAGAGCATGTACTGTAAAAATGCTTGCAAAAAGGAACTTTAATCATTCCAAAAATTACTGATGATAGCAATTTTCAATTGTACAGTAATTCATTATAGGGGTTCACTTCGCAACGCAAGTACGACATATAGAGAATTAATAAATTAAGATCACAAATATTGTTTCCATATTCGCTATAGCGCATACATTAGATTGGTGGACAAGTTAAATATTGTAAATATTTCTGAACTTTTTTAACATTTTCAAATTATAATAACAATCACAAGTTTTTGGCTTAGATGTCGGATTAAATAATAAAATTGGCATTCATTAAAAAAAAAGTCCTATAATGTTTAGACTTAGTTTACTTTTTTTAGTGAAGCAAACTCGCAATATTCATTTAGGATTTTTAAATTTTTCTAGTTAGCACCATAAGGTGCTATCGCTTACGCTTCAGAAGATTTTAGAGGTTACGTAGAAAATGGATTCCACATGTGCTAACAAATCACATCACTCAATAACTCTCCCATCTGACGCAGGTATGGCAACACTGTGAACACAAATATATCTGATTTCAGTGTAGTAATGACCTTCAGGCGATCTAAGTACAAATTTCATGATATTTCAACTACTTATTTGCAAGTTACACCTATTTTTAGTGACACTACCTGTTCGGGTCGTTTCGGACAACTTTGGTTGGTTGCTCCGTAGTCGACTGACAGCCGTCTTACGCCTGGAGTGTAGCGGCAAGCCTATGTTTCATTCATTGTCACCCATATCCCATGAGTGCCGAATTCTCACCCACTTCGAATCGAGCGTATAGACGGACAATTTTAATCGACTCGAAATTTGACGCCGATCACGAATTTGTATAATTTATTGGATTTCTCAAGCTTATTTCTGGGCGTTGCAAACGTTTTGACAAAATAAATGTACCCCTCATCCTTCGGCGATGGGTATAAAAAAGCTGCTTATCAAGTAAATGATTTAATCACTCACTAATAGTACGCCTAAAAAAATGATTTCTCTTTTTCATTAATCCTTTTTTTTTTTTTGGTTTTTTTAAACAAATCAGAATTAATTGATCATTTTTAGGAAAGTAAGTTTTATTTATTATAGCTTTCCAAAGGCAGTACGCAAACTGTACCTGATAGCAGTATTTTAATTTTATTATTTCATTTTTTAAAATTTGTTAATGTGAAATAGAACTTAGTGGTTGTTGAGCGTGCGTAAACTGTAGCCAAGTTTAGATTTTAATCGTGTATAACTTTTTATAACTTTTCGAAAAGAATTGCGTATTTCGCTATGTAGATGTGAAAGGTCTTGTAATGTCATATTGATTCGTTGTTTTTCTTCGATTGCTACTATCAGCTTTATCAGCTGACGATGACATCGACATCAAACTGATGATTTAAGCTTTATATTTTTATTTTTATTTTTTTTTTTTTTTTAATGAAAATCATCGTTCAGTGCAGTTTGTTTTGTTTCATCATGCCTGGGTAACAATTGAATGCCGTTTTATTGGGTATCATTAAATTCAAAATAATTTCGTTTAAAGAAAAACTACATATGAGAGCATTGTCTTAAACGAAAGTCTTTTCTATGCATAGAAAGCTTTTTAATGAGCTGGAAACATCTTAACACGTTCATAGACATGAAATGGATTGAATGCTATAACATAAAAATTTCAAAGTTAAATATTTTTCATTTAATTGTAGATAAACATAGAGATTTTAAATTATTGTATTTGCCGAAGTATTGATTAACTGACTCTTTAGGTTTCCTCCACTATCCCTTTCGTGCATGTTTTCGCTTATATAAATGATGCTATAGCATTCCCGTCATACTAAATGAAACATTTGATCTACATTGTCGTGAATGTTATAGCATTCGTTGCATATATGATCTACTAACTAACCTTGGAATTTACCACACCTGTCTGTTCTGTTTTTTGTTAATCACAGCAATTTTCCCTAGCCATGAATGTGTTAAATGATAAGATTTTCTCATGACCGAACTAATTGGCCTGCTATCAACCTATACATTTGATCGAATAGAAAGTCAAGATTTTTTAAATAGAAAATCTCTACAATCTACGGAGCTTAACTTCTGCGACGCATTCAACATCATAAACATTGTGTATCTATTTAAGCAGCTCAACTGTTTTCTTTATCTTTCGCGACTAAGAAAAATAAATAAAAAACAAATAATTTGTTTTTACTTTGAAAGAGATTACAAAGATTTGGGCTAATATCTTATCTAAAGGTACCTCACGTTAAAGGCCAAGAAAAAGGAGTTGTAATAATTGCAGAAGTTCATCTGCCTTTTGCTTTAGAGCAAAAGAAAAAAAAAAAAAGAAAAAAAAACTACAGTGCGAGTAACAAGTCAGTATTTACGGGTTCAAATCTTTCTCTGCGGTAGAGTTTACCAAGGGCGTAACTGTAGTGATGAGTGTTCAGTCAATAAAGGCATAATAGTTACTAATTGAACAACAGACCCGCTAGGCTGCCCCCTCCTTCCTCCCTGTCATTGCCTTTCTTCACATCTTCTTCTTTCTGGCCGTCACCGCGTGACTGATCATTAAAAATATAATTATTCACGTTAACTGATTCGTTGATATTATTTGTTCAAGAAGTGCATCATACGAACTAATTGTTCTTCTTATCACTCAGTGATTTGCGTGAACGAAAAAAAAAATTCCCCAACATCTTATTGCTAGACAATGCTAATGGATTTTTTTTTTTTTTTTTTTTAAGCTTTAACAGAATGATAAAAAAAACTTTAATGCATCAAGAGTTCAAAGCGAATTTTCAAAGATCCATTACTTATGAGTTTTTGTAATGAAAGCTAAATTGTTTTCCTGAGAAATACTAAAGCAATGCTATAGACATTTATAGGCAATTATAAGGTAACATTTTGCGAGCGTCACATATGTAACGATGCGATTAATACGAATATACGGTATTATTCGCTTTAATTAGGTACAAAAAAAAAAAAAAAAAAAAAAACCGGCTTTCATATCATAAACTATTGTATGTAGAAAAAAATGCAAAAAGCTTGAATTTAAAAAGAAAAATAAACAAATAAATAAATAACAAATAAATAAAAAGAAAATTATCTACGTTTAGTTGTTTGTTTATTCGTTGTATTGATTTCCTGTTACGTGATTGAAACGCAACAAACAAAATATGTAAGTAACAAAAAACAAGAATAAATAAATAAATAAATAAATAAATAAATAAATGAATACAAGAGAAAAAAAAAATGAGGAGAAAATTTTTCGATACGCGATGATTTGAAAAATTGAAAATTGCTTGCGAACACATGTATATAAGATACGTACGTATGCATATAAGGTTGTTACGTAGAAATCCGGAAAATGATTTCATTTTCTCTCGCTCTCTTCGCATACGCATACGCATACATATTAATGAAAAACATAAACATAAGTAGACATGACCATAAATAATCGGCAATGTTAGCTTAAGTATCAGTTGCATTGCATATGTATATTTTTCTTGATTTGTTGTTTGTTAACAACATCCAAATCAAAGTTGTTTTCATGATAATGATGATGATGATGATAATGATGATGACGATGTTTTCGTTTAAGGCAATTTGCATACGCTGCGTACACCAAAGCACACGCATCTTTTTTTCATGTTGCATAGTAAAAAAAAAAAAAAAACACACAAAAAAAAAGAAAAAAAAAATGAAATCAAAAACTCTCTTCTACGTTTACCTTGTGTTTTTAATTAAGTCTTTTGTTTTCCTTTTTATTTTTTATTTTTGTTTTTTGTTTTTTTTAAATAATTAATAGTAGTAATAGTTAACGGAATTTATTTCATTAAATTGCGTTTAACATGCAAATGCAAACAAGTTTTATTACATCTGCGTTTCAAATGTGCATTACTATGAGGTCAATTTTATTAATTTATTTATTCGAAATCATTTTTCATCAAATAATAATAATTCGTGCATTTAATTTTAAATTTAGGCCATTTAAAAAGAGCCCGTAAGAAAATTAAGCAATAAATCTTAAATGCCCTAAAAACAAAAGCTTTCTTTTTAGTTAAATTTCATCTGCATATCGCATTTATGAATGATAGGGTTATAGCCATCCGCTATAATTTTTTTGTTTTTGGTTCCTCTGTGAAAGACATAAATAAATATTTATTGCACGGACACATCTAATTATGATTCACAATTTGATGCTGGGATCTCTGAAGCTTTCTTCTGCAAACGTCAACGTTGATATTGCGACCTTACAATTATTCTTTCCAGCCTTAGCTTCACTACGGTTGGGCTATGAAAATCATAAAATGAAATCAATTTCATCCGATTTCGCACAAGCAATTTTACAGCTCTTGGAACTGACAGTTGAGTGCATTGGAAACAAATAATTATTACCTTCACATTTTCTAATACGATCCGAGAACCAAATCAGTATATATAAATTGGTAAACAAAAAAAAAAAAAAAGAAGAAAAAACAAACCTTTTTTAAGCCGACACTATTTTTATGTTATGCCTATATCAGCATTCGGTAGCAATATTTTGGGAAACCTACAAAATTCCTTTGAAAAATTCAATTTCAAGATGGCAAAGTGGCTTTGATTGTCCCTTAAACTGCGACAATCTATTTTGTCAATAAACTGATGAAGGGTTTTAGAAAGTTTTCACATACACACACACACACACACACACACACAAATAATGCATATAATCGTGTAAAGATATTGCAAGCATCTCTTCTTTCATCGTTTTATATTTTAATTTATCATTATTATTATTATTATTATTATTATTATTATTATTATTATAAACTTAGCCAGAGAATAAATTCTAAGACTAAAGTCTTAAAGCACTAGCATCTAAGGCTTTCGGCTTTTATTAAAAACTCTACCGCACTTGAGATTTGAACTCACGACCAATGAGTTGCTAGTCGAGACTCTTGCCTACTCGGCCACTCAGGCGGATGTATTTTTTTTATTTTAATAAGAAAAATTGTTTATATTGTCTGCTCATCAACAATTTGAGAATTCTTCTCAGGTCCGGAAATTTGTAACTACAGCTCGGAGCAACAGAATGAAAGTCACAAAATGAATTTGATATTTGCTTATGATTAATTGCCAGCGCACTTATAACATTCCAGGATAATATCAACTGCGATTATTGATTTCATGATTTGGTTTCGCTCCAAATCTCACTTATTTGAAAATTGGTAAAGTTGTGGAAAAAGTTGAAAGAAATTTCACGAATATAAATTGAAAATGGATATGACATACAGTTGAACGCTAAAGCTGAAGTTAATGAACAGAATCGCTTGATCTCTTTGATCAAATTTCCATAATGAATTCGATCCGATAATACAAATGCTATTATAATTTATTTTGAGAGTTAACAAACATACATTTGGGCTAAAGAAAGAAGAAAAAAGAAACTTATAACTAATAGATAAGATTTTCGACTATAGATATTGGGCGAGTGAGAAACCATATCATATTGCGTTCGCCAAGTACTTTCACTACCACTATGACATTAGCTATTGCAATAGCTAGATTTTTTGAAATTGACAAAAGATATTTTCATATATCGCTGGGAGATATATTATATATTTATATACTCTGATATATATGTTATGATCCATTTTCCGAAAAGATAATGACTAAGAACTGATGTAGGCGCACAATTGACAATAACTTGTTTGAGGAAGTTGGTAGCAGCCAAGATACCCTAAACGACGAATATAGCTTTCTTACTTGTGTGTTACATAATCGACAGCAAAAAGCGATCATCGATAATTCATTACAAATATCACAATGCCTTTGTCCATGGGAACGTATAACAACTTTTAAGTGGCAAAGTGGCAATAGTACGATTGCTTTGATTGATCTTGCTTTTAGCGAAAAACAAAAGAAACAATTAAAAGAATTGTATTCGGTCGTGACCGAATCTTCTATACATACATCTCAACTAAGAATTACATTTTTATACGATTGATTGGGCGTGGATGATTTTTTTTCTATCTTCTAGAATGAAAAATGAAATTTATGTCGTTCTATTTGTTATAGCTTAGGATAAGCGAGCTTATAACACGGGAAACAAATGCGTTTACAGTTTTTGTGGCGTAGATGTGTAAGCATTTTAGGTATGTCCTTTCGCCGATTTGCGAATAGGACAATGCTTACCATAGATACTACCAAATCAGATCGGCAATCAGACAGACGGACATGCTTAGTTGCATTCCGAATTTGAAATCGGCCAAGTATTTATACACTTTATGAAGTTTATGAGAGGGGATCTTGAAAAGAAATGATTG